ATACTCTCTCTCTCTCTCTCTATCTCTCTCTCGATCGATATGTTATCTCTCTCTCTTCTCTCTCTCTCTCTCTCTCTCTCTCTCTCTCTCTCTCTTCTCTCTCTCTCTCTCTCTTCTCTCTCTCTCTCTCTCTCTGGGAAAGATGTCCAGTGTATCGGGCGCAGCAGCGTCTCCACGTCCAGCGCAGTCAGGCACCTCCTCCACATCCAACGCAGTCAGGCGCCTTCTCCACGTCCAGCGCAGCCAGGCACCTCCTCCACGTCCAGCGTAGTCAGGCGCCTCCTCCATGTCCAGCGCAGCCAGGCACTCTCCTCCACGTCCAACGCAGTCAGGCACCTCCTCCACGTCCAGCGTAGTTAGGCGCCTCCTCCACGTCGAGCACAGTCAGGCACCTCCTCTACGTCCAGCGCAGCCAGGCACCTCCTCCATATCCTGCGTAGTCAGACGTCTGACAGCTTCGTGTGCGTGATCAGTGTCGGTCTGATCAGTCGATCTGACCAGCGCGTGATCAGTGTCGGTCTGATCAGTCAATCTGATCAGCGCGTGATCGGTGTCAGTTTAATTAGTCGATCTGATCAGTGTCGGTCTGATCAGCGCGTGATCAGTGTCGGTCTGATCAGTCAATCTGATCAGCGCGTGATCGGTGTCAGTTTAATTAGTCGATCTGATCAGTGTCGGTCTGACCAGCGCGTGATCAGTGCCGGTCTGATCAGTCACTCTGATCAGCGCGTGATTAGTGTCGGTCTGATCAGTCGATCTGATCAGCGCGTGATCAGCGTCGGTCTGATCAGCCAATCTGATCAGCGCGGGATTGGTGTCAGTTTAATTGGTCGATCTGATCAGTGTCGGTCTGATCAGCGCGTGATCAGTGCCGGTCTGATCAGTCACTCTGATCAGCGCGTGATCAGTGTCGGTTTGATCAGTCGATCTGATCAGCGCGTGATCAGCGTCGGTCTGATCAGTCAATCTGGTCAGCGCGGGATTGGTGTCAGTTTAATTAGTCGATCTGATCAGTGTCGGTCTGATCAGCGCGTGATCAGTGTCGGTGTGATCAGTCAATCTGATCAGCGCGTGATCAGTGTCGGTGTGATCAGTCGATCTGATCAGCGCGTGATTAGTGTCGGTGTTATCAGTCGATCTGATCAGCGCGTGATCAGTGTCGGTGTGATCAGTCAGTCTGATCAGCGCGTGATCAGTGGTGCCGACCAAGACGATTAGCCGGAGGTGGACCCTTGGGAGGGAGTCTAAGGCTTTCTCTGCCGGCGAAATCCTCCACCTGGGGCCGCCGGAGGGACGGCCATTCTCACCAAGTGCCGGACCTGGGTGAGGTGCTCTCCGGCACACGCGTAAAGCTACCCAGTAAAGGTTTCGTGCAAGCTGTGAGCCTGCTGCCTAAATCGCCAGTTGTGTGGCTTCGGTACAGTTCCCGCTTCTTTGTGTCGATGGTCCCATCTGTCGTTTAAGCTAGGTTTCGAATCGCAACTTTTGTGTGGAAGCCATTTTTGCCAGCCCTTTTTGTGGAGCGCTCGCAACAGTGGAAGCCAGTGTTGCGAATGAACCGGGGCCTAGCTGGCGGGCCGCATGGCCTGGCGGAGCAGGCGATTTGGTGGTGTAATGGACTGGGAAGCACGCACATTACGCTGATTAAAGGGATTATAGGATAAAGAAAGGCCCTGAGCAGACTTTTCTCATGTGGTTCCAGTGGCCGGTGCACTGTCGACATGAATGTGCTGATATGCTTTATGACTGCTTGGTAAATACGTTATTAACTGCAGTGGCTTGCTGAACACCTTGGCTGTGTTCACGAGGAAGAACTAGCGTAAAGAGAAAGTAGTGTTACAGTACCTTTTACAACCAGGAACTTTGCGGACCGTCGCCGCCCACAAACCGCTGTTGTTTGTAACAATACACCCCATGAAAGATATAAAAGTCGCTAATCAAGAGCGTGCGCCTACATGCAATCTGTGTCAATATACGCAACACACATGCAAAAATTTGTATTGCATCCTCAGGCTGACTAGGCCATACCTCGGCATACAGCGTCTTCTTGGTCAGACTGATGCCCCGCTCCAGGCAGGTGAAGCCTCTCTCCACGCTGCTGCTGTTGTTGGTTCCGATGGCGAGCATGACGAACGCCGTCAGGGCGGCCGGACCGCCCCGCTCCGTGCCGCCCTGGCGAGTGAACATGTCGGCGTTATACTGACATCTCTGTGTCAGACCGGTCGCCAATGTTGACGACATCCGTGATATTTTTCACCGTTACACCGAAGACGATCCACCGGTGACTTATATCGTGATCCGAACTGGTGATTTCAGCACAGTGCCCATGAAAGCTGTGCAAAGCATTTGAAATAAATAAATAAAAAGCTTACAATAAATGTAATAATGAAATGATAAAAATATGAAATGAAATACAAAATGAAATGATAAATAATCAAGAAAGCATTGGGAAAGATAAGGCCCGCATCTTGCGCGTTGAGCCCGATGTGTGGCGCTCTCCGCATGGAGTCCCAGCGTCCGTCTGATCTATGCCGCTGCGCCGGTGCGGGGATGTGCTGGTGAGGGCAGAGGTGGGCCGCCCGCATCCTGACCGGTTCAGGCCGGCGGTGTGGGGTGAGGGTCCCGCTGTCCAGCTTCCATGTTACTAGGAGTGTGGCACGAGGGCTGCGAGGCTAGAAGTCCCTAGTCTTCCGTAGCACCCCAGTGAATGTGAGGCTGCTACCATGTATGTCTGATGACGTCTATCTTCTTTCCGTCGCCCCACGACCAGCCTGAGAGCCCTGAGTTCCCTGACCCGCATCGCCGACAGGAGGCTGAGGGATTCCAGAGGGCTGTTTCCTGACGTGAGGCCGGGGCATTCTAATGGGCGGTTTCCCAGCGCGAGGCGGTGGATGCTGAGGCGCGGCTTCCCGTTCCGCCAGCACGACGCAGCGTCACTTGCCTTTAACTCTTTGTGAATGACGCTGCCGAGGAGAGGGAAGCAGCCGTCATCCTGCTGTTGCTGCACCAACCAGCTCACACTTTCCTTGGTCGACTCCTTGTCTGATATGAAGAAAGTGGTTAGCTCGTGAAGAGAAGCTGCACCCGCCGTCTCTCACTCCCACGACTTCCCGGCTGGGTGGGGATTTTAAGGCTATCTAGTGGAGAGAAGCAGACGTTAGTTCATCTTTACGTCAGCCGTCCCTCACTGGCATCGGCTTACTCCTCATCATGACAAGCAGGTTATGGTCAGCAGCGCCATCAATGTGGTGCGAAGTCGCCCTGCTGCTGCAGCCCCATCAGTTGCTGACCACTGACGACTCCTCGTCTGGCCAGCAACGTTGTGAGGATAAAGTACAGTATAGTTAGGTCGTGGATGGAGTCAGACGTTACTCTACTGCTGCCGCAGCACCTGTCTATCAGCGATATTGGCCAGCTTCTAGTCTGAGCAAGGACACCAGACGGTGCCTTTGTTCAGGGGTTCAGGGGATATATAAAGTCAACCAGTGGAAGAAAGCAGTCACTGATCTGTTGCTGCTTCGCCATTCCGCTCTCACCCGTGTTGGTTAACTTCTCGCAAGGGCGTGATAAACACAGCCGTGGAGTTATACCGAACTGGCTGGCTAAGGCTCTTCAGAGTTAAAGGCATAAGAGCATCTCATACCAAGGTCATTCAACGGACTTCAAGCATCTCTGATCGTAGTCCAGCACCGCACTGATGAGAGCTTAGACTGTCGCTGATGTCATGTGATGATGTTCCTTTCTAAAATAGGTACATCAATACACGAATGCCAAGACCGGAGCACACATCAAAGACGCCGGGAGTGTGCTCGATTCTTCTCACGGTGGTACCATGACGAGTGCTGCACAATGACGCTGGCACCATGACGAGTGGTGCACAATGACGCCGCTACCGTGACGAGTGCTGCACAATGACGATGCTATGTGGACGCGTGCTGCACAATGACGCGGGCACCATGACGAGTGCTGCACAATGCCGCTGACGCTGGTCCATGACGAGTGCTGCACAATGACGCTGGCACCGTGACGAGTGCTGCACAATGACGCTGCTACTTGACGAGTGCTGCACAATGACGCTGGCACCATGACGAGTGCTGCACAATGACGCTGGCACCAGTGACGAGTGCTGCACAATGACGCTGCTACCTTGACGAGTGCTGCACAATGACGCTGGTACCATGGCGAGTGCTGCACAATGGCGCTGGTACCGTGACGGGTGCCGCGCAACTGTGTGGTACTCTGACAAGTACCGCGCAACCATGTGGTACCGTGACGAGAGACACCTACCGATGTCGATGTACTCGGACGCTTCCTTGAACGATTTGACGACGAAAGCGGTGAGCCACAGCGAGGCTTCCCGGTCGTCCCTGCCGAACGAGGAGTACGAGCCGTCCCGGCGTCTGTACCGCAGCTGTGACTGGTACCCTGGAGTGCAGCGAAAGGATGCCACTGGTGGATGAGTGTACCGTGACTGGACCTAGTATCTTGGGGTGACACGCAAGGTCAAAAGAGTCCCGGTATTGCCACTGGATCTGGCTCCCTGGGGGTGTAAGCGAGAGTCTTTACAGGCTATACGGGACAACCGCCGACGCGGCTTCCTCTTTGCCATCCCATCTCAATTTATTGGTCCCGATGATCTCCTCGCCCAAAACTCGAGACTCGCTTTTAGTTTTTGTCTGCCAGTGATGTTCACCGTTTAGAAACCGAAAGAGATGATAACTTCCCGTAGTTGCAACTGTCGTCACATCTGTTGCACGTTTGGAAAGGGAGCTGGCACGGTGATGGCCCATGTCTGCACCCTTGTCATTATTCCCCCGCATTGTAAACATGTTTTGTCCCACTGCGTTGCTGCATGGGCTTCGGCATATTTCTCAGTCATGCTCACCATGTTCAAGATGTCGTTGCTAATATTCCAGCATGTTTAACCTCCACACCCTTATGATGGCATGGTCCTGCTCCAGTACGTATACACCTCACGCAAATCGTGGTTTCCGAATTGATATTACCCTTTATCACAGTGTCCGCAGTATCATATTACCCATATCACAGTGTCCCCAGTATCATATTCTCCCCTGTTGTTTGTTGTCCGAGTCGGGTTCCGGCACGTGAGATTGACAGGGTGGTCTAGGCCTCCGCCCCACCTCGTCGCATGTCGTTGGTGGTCCGGTCCCGATCCCGGCGAGTCAGCAGTCCGGTGTGCTCCAGATCTCTGTCTCACCTTGTCTCATGCCGTTGGTGGTCCGGTCCCGGTCCCGGCGAGTCAGCAGTCCGGTGTGCTCCAGATCTCTGTCTCACCTTGTCTCATGCCGTTGGTGGTCCGGTCCCGGTCCCGGCGAGTCAGCAGTCCGGTTTGCTCCAGGTACGCCCTCACGTGGATGTACGGTACGAAGGCCAACATGTTGGTCTCTCCTCCACCGGTCGGGATGTCCAACAGGCGACCCAGGTTCTGACGGTCACGGCAGGTGGTTGCCGCATATTGGCAAGCCAGCGAAACAGCTTCCTCAGTTACTATTTGTGGTCGAAGAATGGGTGAGAGGGAAACGTCATCCCACGGTTAATTTCTAAAACATGAAACGCAGTGAATTTCGTACTGGATGCCACGTTTGCCAATGTGCAGTGGTTCGCGAGATAATCTGCATTCTAGTTAAGTTTATGGGACGTCTGATATACGGTCAATAAAGCTGTAAGATGATATTGCGTTTTTCTCCGAAGAGATCTTGGAGACCAACGGTCGACCAAAACCAAAAGACAGTTTTGAGAAGTTCATTTAAACTTGGCTTGTTTCATGGAAATGTTCCTTTGAATGAAATATCGATGGCAGTGGTCGTTGCTGATGTTGATTGGCTATGGGTCGGTCCCTGCCATAAATGCTTAGTGGTTTGTTTGCCACGCAAAAGTCAACACCAAGAGCCGTTGGCTCCGCGTCTTTACGTGCTCCGTTGGTCGAATATGACAACATGGCATGTTGTCATATTCATCGCTGCTCCGTGGCCTGCAACGGAACGCGTGCGTTCTGCTTGCACACGTCGGCCCGCACTCTCACGCTGATAGCTGTCCATTCTTTCCACATGTCCACGTGTGTCAATCTCGCTTCTCTCCAACGCCGGATTGATAAGTGCTCGGTTTGGGCCATGTTTTGCAGCTCTTGTTTTGTTTTTTGCGACTTTGGGACGCTGATGCTTTGATATTGACGGAGGGCGCGCAGCAGACGGGCGTGTTTTGCGGCCTCACAATACTAGGGAATCACTTAATTGCACTGTTAACTATATACAACCTTTCCCGCACTTTTCCAGTTTACTTTTTAAATTTTGATGCACACGTTAGCTACAAAAACAAAGGACGGCACGTTATTTCGAAGAATGGCCAGAGTATTAGCAGGGTACACAATCATGATGGACTTGACACTTGTAACAAGCTCGCATTTATTCGTCTCATTCCTGACTCGTTTGTCGCGCCTTTTCAACACCTGTGGCTGTCATGGGTCAAAAGAGGATCTCCTCATCAGAGGTGCATCCGGGACGGACTCACGTCGTATGAAGGTCCGAGCAGATCCCCCACTACGGAGAAATAGGCCCGCTCAGAATCCGGCACCAGGCCTTCAGGAGCCACCATCGGGATCCGCTCCACGTGAGGCTCGGCTCCTGACACATCGGAAGCAGGTCAGGGTCAGGTCATAACAGGTCGAGGTCGGGCCGGGTCGTGGACTGAGGCGCAGTTGGGCGATCTACATCAGGCTCGTCCTCATTGGAGCCAGTAGTCGAGCAGGTGAAACACTTGTTTTGTTAGAACAGAGAAACTGGAATATATATATATATATATATATATATATATATATATATATATATATATAGATATATAGATATAGATGCATATATATATATATATATATATATATATATCCATAATATCTATCTATCTATCTATCTATCTATATCAAGACGCAAAAGACCTTCGGTCGGTGATAGTGCTGTTTACCAAACACATACGTAGCGTAACGGTATGCGGCGGATACACTCGGCAATTTTGTCGGAAAACACGCCCCCGGTGAAAGCGTGAAACCGCGCATGTTGGTGTTCGCCCTGAATCAGAATTACTCCGGGTGGCAGTTTTGTGCTGCAATGATAGACGCTAACTGACAAAACGTGAATACATATGAGTGGCATTACCTAGAAACATACAGTTTTTCGTGCTCCCTTACATTTGGTTTTGTAATATTTCAGCTACGAGAGGGGGCAGTTCGTTGTGTCCCAACCGTGCACATGCACACGCACGCGCGAAGGCCCGTCGTTGGCCGTGTGAGTTCGCTGGACTAAACCGGTGCCTGCGTACAGTCGACTCTCTTAAAGAAGTCAAGACTCACCCCGGTCCAGGCACACGAACCGCGACGTCGTCTCCTCCTGCGGGAATCCCTCGGGCTTGATCACTAGCGGACGGATGACCGTGTCGCTGTCGGTCACAGCAGGAGGTGAAGTCTTTGCGCTGCTAACAATATGTAGCACGCAGTGGCTGGAGGTTTTGACACCTTGTTTAGATAACGTTTACATGCATGTTCGTCATGTTTATGCCAACCCGTTGCGAAAAAGAAGAAACGAATGTCTTTGCACGCCTCTCCACTCCCTCTCCCTTTCTTTGCAGCCAGGAGTAGAAACCCGTTTCCAAAATTGGTATGACGGGCGAGGATTTAGTATCTCCATCCCGGGAGGACGCAGGACCACATTATGATGCGACACTACAGTGTGTGCTCACCTCTAAAATCAAGAAGCGACAGGCAAGGTTGTCAAAAGATCTGACATGAACAAAATCAAAGCTCAAATCATCAGATGGACACAACAAGAAATACGGGGCCAAGTCCGCCATTAGGATGTAAGCGTCAGCGATGTGGGATGGTCAAGGAACTTTGAGGCGTCAAGCACTAGTCTGATTGAAACTTGGGGTCAGCATTTGCTCGTTTTAGTAAAGTGAGTCATGATTAAGGCAATGTTGTGCCCCTTTTATCTGCCTTTCCCAGTTTTGTTGCCTGTAACCTAGACCCAGCACCCAAGTTGTAATGTCCAGATGAACGGATAACTTTGCCTCCTCCCTTTGGTCAGGCAGGAGTGCGGAAGTTTTCACGTGCCGCTGGACGCTGTCCATCTCCCCGAGCCCGGGTTGACCCTCGTTGGCCGGTTGCCAGCTGATTTGTTCCTTTCAGTCGGGCCAAACCATGCTCCCGCTCTGCTCTGCGCCCGCTGTGGGACTCGTCCCCGGTGCCACTTGATCACAAGTCCGACATCTTTCCCCCAGACCTCGAAGACATCGAGTGGTTTGTAGCACAGCCCCTCCCTTGTACCATACCAAAGTGTAGCGCGTGAACATGCAATGTAAACGCTGATGGCATGGCGCTTACGTGCGGTCCGCGGTGCCAATTTAACGAGGCCGTGATATATGTCACCGCGTCCTTGCAGGACGCCATGATCAGCTACAGATCGACTGCGCTCAAGCTGCGCGTAGCACTGTATTAAATGCCTAAGATGCAGAATAGGTTGTAGAAAATAAACTAGACTTTGAGGATGAAGCGAGAGAGAAAAGTCACCGGAAAGCAAAAACCGAGGGCGGCCAGAATCGATTAACTGTGAAGGCAAAACATGAGCGAAGTCGGACACGTTTCTCCATGGACGTAGTTCCCTCTCATCCGAGCCCATTTGCTGGGTGGCTAGCGTTACAACTGGTTATTCAGCTCCGAAACCCGTGCTCTCCTTAGACGTCGCTCACTGGATGAGATTGGACCAACGCGCGTCTGACCGGCGAGCGGTCAGATGTGCCGGGACGCCCCAGGGCACGTGTAAATACCGGACCACCGATGAGCACGGTGTGCGGCCTTTAATGGATAGCGTTCGGCAAGCAGGCTTACCGAACCACATACATTCAACAAAAACCATTGCCGTGGAAAGAGTGATTGCGGTGAGAGGACCTGATCGCGTCCTTGCTGTAGGAATAAGACATTAAGGCGTTTCTCGGGGCTCTCACGTAACGGGCACCTGTCACGGAAGAAAACGTCTAAGGCGTGCAAGAGGGCTGAAAATGTCTGATAGCCAAGGGAAGCCGGTGCCATCGGAGAAGTTAGAAGCGGGTAGAGTGGGACACAGGGCCTGGGTCTGGAAAAAATAGTCAGTGGTGATGACGGCAAACCATTCTTCTGGAGGCGTGAAGAACAGTGACGGTCGTACAGGAAACATCGGCAGTCAAACGGGACTCACCACCCCACGATCAGCCGATGACCAGCTAGTCCGCCAGAGGTTACAGCTATGTCCATATTTATTGATACTGCGTTCTTTGTGAACGCAAATTAATGGCGGCAATAACACCAGCTGGTTAAGACCATTTCATCTTGTTGAAGAGTGCACTTTCAATAGTTGATGTGTATTGGTCATCGTGCACGCGGATCTTTTTTACAATCGGTGTAAGAAAACTGCACTCATCCCCTGCCTCTGAAAAAACACTAAAAGATATATGTGCAACATTATTAAATATGCAAAATTTAAAGCCACAAGTTTTTTTCCACAAAATGGTAACTGCATCACGACATGAGGCGAGTCCAGAGTAAAAATCGAGCATCAGCTCCTCCCGTCTCTGTGGACACTATGCTTCACCTAGTTCCCAAGCGTTCGCCCACTTCTATCCATCCTAGCTGCTGCGATCAGTCGCAAGACTGTATTGCCACATCAGATGACTGATCATTCGGCCAATGCCAACATCGTATGTCTGATCATTTTGCCGGTGCCAACATCAGATGACTAATCATTCGGCCAATGCCAACATCAGATGAATGATCATTCAGCCGATGCCAACATCAGATGATCGATAATTTTGCCGGCGCCAACATCAAATGCACCAATCTCAGATGACTGATCATTTGGCCGGCGCTGACCACTCGCTGGTGAGCTCCGATTGGAAGAGGTACCTCGGCACGGGGGGCTTGTGGTGAAGACATGCGTTTGCACTAGTGAACCACACGAAATCAGTGATTAGATGCCATGACCACGGCCAAAAAACAATGACAAACCCACCTGCCTGGGCCGACGGCGTTCGGCTGGTCACAGTTGCCGTCTCGGAGTCTGGCCGTGACGGTAATGTTGACCTCGCCCAGAGAGGTGAAGGTCAGCGGAAAGTGGCTGACCTCGGAGCGGCCCGCCGGTACACAGAGGTCAATTCCCGCGGGCGAGACCTCGTCCGCCAGTGAGTAATCGTCCGACGCCGCCAATTCCAGGTACACCTGCCGCGAACAGGGTACAGGGTACGCCGACAAGGTACGCGAATATCTGGGAAACTGGACAGCAAAGTGGCAGCTTGTGTGTTGGTATTCACTGCAACATCTACAACTGAACGCTGGAGTACGATGCAACGCCTGAAGGAAGAGCTGGCTGTCATCTGAGATGGAAGAGCCGATTATGTGGAGTGAAAGTGCTGCGATGTCTGTGAGGGGTACTACTGATCCCCTGGATAGGGGTGTTTTTACTTAAGGGGTAGCGCCTGGGAAGGGGTAATGCATTATCTGACACCTGTGCAATGTGTTCCCTTTTGGGAATGCACCGTAACATTTTGCGAGCGGCCTGCGTCCAGCGAGCTGCGCCCTAATTTGTCACTAGGCGCACCGTGGCTTAAATAAAGCGTGCTGTGTTCGAAGCGGGCGTGTGGAAATGGAATGTCGGCAAATGCGCCGCAAAACATTTGCGAATGCAATTCAAACGGTCAAATAGATATAGCGTCAGGTGTAACTTTGGCCTTATGCACACCGGTAAGCTGCGAGCATACTGGTCCTTTGACCATATTTATGCAAGTCACTGCAATGACTTCAACGCACATCAGTAGTTGATGTAATGCGCGGATGCTGCAGTCGGTCAGAAGTGTGAGGAGCATTGTTAACCGGCTTACCGACAGACTGGAGTTGAGGAAGTTGAAGACGGTGGACGGCATGTTCAGGACCTTCTCCGCGTTTCACGGAGTACGGCAGCGTGACCTCCGTGAAGAACGGCTTGAATGTCCTGATGTCTGACTTGTTGGAGACACCGAACCCGTCCTGATAGCACACGGTGAAGTCATGTATAATTGAAAAGCAGATATACCAATCACTCAGCTCTCGGAAATTATGCGCCAGATAAGTCATTAGTGCTCATGTAGTTGAGGAACCGGGACTGGATCGGTGTGTTCTTTGCATGGAACCGACCCAATGAAAGGTTTATCATGGGAGATCATTGCAATATGCAACGAGTACCAGCATTAATTTAAACTTCAGCTGTCTGGAACACATTTATGTACAAGTGCTGCGCACCTGAAATTGTCCTCAGCTTGAGTCTATTTAGCAACAAAAATGCTGATTTATCCATGAAAACTTCACAGAGCATGGCCGGAAACCAATGGTCAAGTCTAGGGAAATCACCACCAAGCTGGAGCCGGGAAATCCCCAGGTATCTCTGGCTAAGAAGTTCTCATTTACCCAGAGTTCACACTCCTTGCTTACCTGGAACCGGGAAATCCTCAGCCACCTGGGGTGGAGAGCTCCTACCTACCTATGCTAGTGGGTCTAAACTCTTCATTTACCTGGGGGTGGGAGCAGATGGCGGAGCCGACCCACGATGTGATGGTGTCGGGCATTTTCTGGGTCAGCACTGTGGTGCCCTCCGGGCTGATGACACAGAAAGGTCAGCTGCAGGTCGGTCATGGCGTGAGAACCCAACCAAAGACACAAATAGGGTCGTGGATCTGAGCGCAAACAAATGCGGGGCCGGGAGATGGCGGCGAAGGGCTTGAGTGCACAGCATGCATAGATAACAGAGGAAGAACCCTAGGTAGGTCGAGGAAACGTTCACGAATATAATGCGATATTTGAAGAAAACTTGGTCGCGGCGTGTGTGTAAAAGGGAGGCGGTTCAGCTGACACCTGGAGCGGTCCATTGTCGGCGCAATTTAGAATAGGCTTCTGCTTAGTGGCGAATCCCTGCAGCTACTGGTTTATCCTCGCCTTCCTGAACCTATTCTTGTCTAGGATCTTCAAAACCGGGTGCGTGGTGCGGACAGGAAAAAAGATGTGCCATAGTCGGCGTGGAACACCCGAAACAGAACTAGAGCAAACACAGAGGTTAGGTCGATCAGACCGTCACAGCGACGCGCGTCGCAAGACAGCTAGGAACTCCCTCGAGTCCTGCCCTCCAACCGCGCATATGGCATCTTCCTGACTGCCGCCTCACCCGAGCGTCTCGATGGAGAAGAGAAATGCCTCTGGGAAGAACTCGCGGACCTGGTCCCCTATGGGAGCCGCCTCAGGCGGACTTGCTGGGAGCCCTACTGCACCTGCTGGACCCGCTATACCTGCTATGGAATCTGCTCGTGACAAGCCGAGAAAGTTCAAGTCTTCCTCTATGAAGTCGACTCTCACCTGGATGGTGACAGCAAGATCAGCGGGGTTCGGCAGGGTCACGGGCAAAAGCCGCTCATGCAAATATGAATCACACATCATGAAACGGGTTATATTCGATCCAAAAATCTCAGAGCATAACCACACGACGGTATCTATCACGGAGTTAAAATTATTCAACCAAAGCCTCCACTTGTTTCTCGCATGTCCCATGATGGCAATGGCTTTATGAGCCTGCAGAATCCAGGGAGGAGAGCCCTGGGGGGGGGGGGGGGATACCGTGGTGGAGACATCCAGCAGGAATATAACATCTTCCACCAGTACCTGCTGGGCCGGCACGCGTTTGTAGCAGGGTCTCGTCTCCAGAGCTAGGTTGGTCATCACCAGAAAGCCCGTCTCCTGAGGAGAGAAAGGGCGGCACTGATTGCTCCTTATCTTACAGGCGTCTTCTCAGGGGCGATGGTGTCGAACCAGAACATAATCAAAATATATTGGAATACGCACGGAAGACATCCTGTCATGAAACACGCTTATAACTTATCTTCAGTCGTGTCTGTGATAGACTGCTAAACCAGAGAGAGAGAGAGAGAGAGAGAGAGAGAGAGAGAGAGAGAGAGAGAGAGAGAGGGGGGGGGAGAGAACGCCAGAATAGATTTCTGAGTGCACCCCAACAACATGTCAAGCGAGACTATTGCTTTCCTTACACCCTGCCAACGCTTTATTACAAGACTCCCCCAGATGAAAACACCGTGTTTTTCATTGCGTGGGAAGGGAGCGTGATTCACCCGGTTGGACGTGCCGGGTCGATCCCGCGAGGTCGACGAACCAGAGGCGAATTCAGGCACAAGGTAACCGAGGACATCACAAAAGGTCGCACGGAGCCGGCAACAGCTCAGGACAGAGGCGCTCCGCTGATAGGCCGTCGCGGGCAGCCCGAACATTAAGACATGGCCTCTCCTACTTGTGGACTTGGCGCTCAACATTGCTGTATTGCACGGCGAACCCCCACACTTGGGTGGCAAATGTCGCTACCGCTTAGGCGGCAACCAGGCACAATTACCACCAATTTGTGGCAAAGATAAGATATCTTGATAAAATTGGTATTGCTACAATCAGTAGTTTTGTTTGAACCTTGGAATGTTTACGTTCGGCTTGGCGCCCAGTGCTAGTGTCTCGTTCATGACTAATTCAAGGATATACTACTGCATCGCCCCATGGTCTCCGCTCGGCTTGTGCCTAAGTTTCACGCCTGCAACCCTCCTTGAAATCAGCGTCTAGTCTGGGCACGAGCATGATTGCTTGACATCATTATAGCATGTCCTTTCGGCGTAGTACTGAGTACATCAGTTCGATTGCTGCATAAACTGCAGCATTTTGCCATAAACACAATATTTCAGCTTTAAGGTCCAAAGGGAGCAAGTATTTTAGAGTTAACATCCATTCAGTGCAGATACTACTATGTTCACTATTGTGCTTTAATGTTTCGAAGGTATCTAAAAATAACCCAACATGGAGCATGTAACACGTTCATCAACCGGGATGCCCATTCATTCGTTCTTACAGATTTCCAGTGGCCTGCATAAGGCATTTCCAACTAACCTGTTTTCAAACACAACGTGCGAAGTTGTTACTTTACACTATACTTAATCCATACGACAGTCATCCCGCCATCTCTCCCCGCCGAGCTACTTCTGTCTCTTGCCTTGGACTAGCCACGGGTCATGGTCGCCATCTCTTCCCGCTTACCTACTTCTGTCTCTTGCCTTGTACTAGTGACGGGTCGTGACACCGCGTCCCTCTCTTTCATTCTTGATGTGTGTGCGGTTGGGATTTACGACGCACTTAGCTCGTGAGGTTTTACGACGTTGCCTGCCTATCACCCTGGCAGTAAGGGCGAACACCGCAGGGAATTGAACCCCTTACCTCTGGTTTCCCAGACGCGGTTTCCCAGACATTCTTTTCCTCTCACTGTGCACTTCACTGCGGCAGTTTGGTTCGATGGAAATATACTGAACAAGGCGCTAGCTTCCGTCTTGACCGCTTTGTCCCGAAAGCTGTGACCGTGCACAAAACACCTTAACCACCAGTCGGTTGTTCTTATCCTCAAGGTTTATTCGGTACTTCTGGAAAGTGACATTGGGCTTAGCGTAGCGATTAAATTAAACCGGATGATCTGGTCTTTGAACAGCCGCCTATCAATGGGGCATATGTTCTTAGGCCAGGACGATGCATGGACAAGCAGCAGACCAACTTGTCTCTGTTCGACCATTCGCTGAAGGACTTCAGGACGTCGTATTGTTCGAGCTGGATCCTAACACGTTCCTCCTCTTCCTCCTCCTCCTTCTCCTCCTGCTCTTCCTCTTTTTCCCCCTCTTTACCCTTCTCCCCCATATCCGCCTTCCGTCTCCGCCTTTGCGAACGGCTCCGGCCTCGGCTTCCGTCTTCCCATCCTCCATACCGATCCGGAACACCTTCTTCTTCAGGTCTTCTTCTTGTTGACAAGCAGGCCGGGGCAGGGTTCACATTTGGGAACCGATCGTTATGGGAAACGACCATACCAGATATCCGGCTAGGTGGTAGATGGCCCTCCCCGATCCCAGGGAGCATTCCTAGGGTCCTAGAACACTCAGTGTGATCATCATTTCGGTGGATCGTTTTGAGCTGTTTCCTGCAAAAGTGTATTCGGTGTTGTCATCTTATACTAGTGCTATCGCTAGAGCTGAAGCTCAGCCACAGATTATCTGTGCCAATAGCATACTTAAAAGCTGTACAATAGTGCAGGATCATTTATCAGGCCTTGATCGATGTGATGCCTCCGAGTTTTGCAAAGGATATGTTGTGACCGGCAAAACTAAATGAAAGCCTTCGAAACTGAAAGCGTGTTGCGTCCATTGATGATGTAGCTACGTTAGTTACTTTGTCATAACTTCTCCAGTGGAAGGCAGATCTTATACCGATTGAGACACTCTGAACCTGAGAACCACAACTTGCAAACCGCGAAATAAGGTCTAAGGTCTAATAAGGTGAAATAAGGTCTCATCAACCGCGAAATACTCGAAATTCTTGCACCTGCCATCAAATGTGGAGCCGTCAAAACTATTCGTAGCTTGCTGAAATGATGTCTTTTGAAGAAGGAGAAACATTAAACGTTCTGACGGCCATTTTTTACGTGCTCTACGTGTTACGTCTATATGCTATTTTCTGCATGGTATCTGACACGGAGGACCAAAAATGTAACCATAATCACAAACTGTGATAAATTATCGTTTACATATTGGCTTAGGGTAAAGGCGATCGCAAGTATTTGCGACACCTTCATAAATCAATTAAAGGTATTCTCCAATCATTCATTCATACACATCTTCATCCATTCTTTCATTCATTGATTCATTCAAAGGTTTTCATGAAAATTTTGCGCGTTTTCACTAGAATGATACTTCTTTTAAGAAATGCCCACATAAGGGACAGTTTTCTATGGAAGTATCATTCTCAGAAAGATGACTTGACTATCGGCACCAAAGACTCAGCAGCAGTCGTGATCATCGACCTGTTGGTTCACTGCTCTCTCACTACAAGTTGCGTGGACGAGATTGCATGGGTATTTTGCGACATCCAATGATCACAGCCGCAGTTCCATGCGCCGTCCAAAAGGTGAACAACTGTTAGTTACTGAGCACTAACGTCAAATGTCTTGAGCGCGTCGAGCCGGTCGGTTCTGAAGCGGGGCGGGTCTCCGCTTCCTCCCAATCCCTGGAATCTGGTGCTGCCAGGCCTTGGGAAGGATCGCAGGGCGTCCGCTCCCAGCTCTTCATTCGAGGCACCGCTCCTGGCGGCGGGAAGCGAGACGACTGTTGCGGAGGTGTCACCGCTTCACCAGTTGTACGACCACGCAGAAACAGGCAGTGGCATTTGGAGTTGGGGATGGTGGTACATTTGGACTTGGGGATGGTGGTCCACCTCATCCCGTTCAGAGTGACGTTGAATAGATGAAATGTGCTCCAATTCTGGTTGATCTTGGCCTCCCTTTCTCTCGCAGACTCAAAATACCTTACGGCATTTGAGGGAACGTTTATGAACCATTTGAGGTAACTGATCCCACTTTGTCGTCGTTCATTCATAACAGTTGACTATCGATAGGTGCTTAAAATATTCAAATCTTTCCAGCAGTAGAGGACATTTGAGAGCAGCGACTGAGGTGCATGCTGGAGAAATAACTGTTCGGATTATGCTGCCCGTAAAGTGTGGTGGTACCTACACCATGCTTTGGCAGCTTATTTCTCTCATCCTCGGCAGGCGTTATTGAAGAGGCCGCAACAAGGACAGCAATCGGGAACAGGGCAACGCACTGCTCTCGAAAGCCACGTAAGCATTGGAAGCGTCAAACCACAGGGGCCGAAGGTGACCAACGAAGGCACGGCGGTGCGGCGGTGGCCGGTATGCTGAAGGCACCAGGAGCCCCCCCTCCCCCCTCCCCCGCCTGAAGGCACACTTACTGCTGCAGGGTGCGAACCAGGCTCCTCTGCTGCCTTAGGCAGTAGTCCTCCGTGGTCACCTGAAATGGCCGACATCGCTCCACGTCGTCAGCACACCACGATTTTACACAACACCAGACGAGAACGAATCCACTCAGTTACTACAGTTCTGCAGGCATCAGTCCCTGACGTATTCCACGGCACAGCGGAAGGTTTCAGCATCTCAACATCACCAAAGCTTAGAGGTTCAATACGGCTCGCTCGGGTTTGCGAAGGGGGTCGGGAGACACAACACCGTTTACAAGTTAGGCTGATCTTTGACGGTCACGCTCAAAACAGGCGTGTCCTTGTTTCACTGAGAAAACGACCGTGCTCTCGGGCGAAGCAGGTCGCATGTTGATGAGTATCGCCGGTGTTTTATTCTGTTCGTTTCCTCACTGACACGAAAGCCGTCACCATTGAAAGCCAATATCCTGCCCCTTGTGCTCCAGTCGACGGCAATACCACCCGTCCCCTCCCGTCCCCTCCCGGTAGATGACCTGCACTGGCGTGTCATGAGCCTGTGAGACAAACTGCCAGAGTCGGCTAAACACGCCATCCACGGTGATCTGGTTGCCGGTGCCCAGCAGCTCTGTGCTCCGGTCCACGGCGCCTGCAGACGGGAGCACACTGTTAGCTGTGTTCGGTCCTCGGGAGCACACCACCATTCGTGTTCGGTGCTCGGGAGCACACCGTCGTTCTCGCTCTGTCGTGCTCCGTACAGTTAAAGGGCAGACGAGTACGGTAGGAGAACGCAAATGGCATGCGAGAGTTGAAATGAGAGAAAACGCTGCTATTCGGACGAGGCTGGAGTCAATCAAACGATGAGGTCTGTCGCCCTAGCGTAACGCACCGTTTGACGAAATAACAGCCGGACGTCCGTCAGTGGAACCTGCGGACATATCTGCCTTCTGAACGCCTGACACAGCTGACACTGAAAGGCCGTCGACCTCAGCACGTGACACCAGGAGGGAGGGGGGGGGGGGGGGGTACTCACTAACGCCGCACACGGAGTCGGGCGAGGCGCTGACGGTGAAGGAGGCGGACTCCCCGGGCCGGGCTGTCTGCTTGTCCCAGCTGACGTCCACCTGACAGCAGCAGAACGTAAGTGGCCGATAGCTCAGACGGTGGCTTTGAATCAAGATGTCCGGGTTCCACTCCCTCCACAGTCATTTTCCAGTGTGGTTGCTCTTCACCAGAAGTGCTAAAGGCAATGCGCCCAGTAGTTACATATGTCGGCTTGGTTAAATACACAGCTCAACAACACTTGACAGCAGCAACATGCTGGGAATGTAGTTCGTTGTCAGGGTTAGGTGTCATGCTGAGGTTCCGAACCTTTCAGAACCAGAGACGACTCATGGCCTGACAGGGCTGTCACATAATGCACCATAAGGACAAACACATATCACATGTGCACCATCAGGACCAACACATATCACATGTGCACCATCAGGACCAACACATATCACATGTGCACCAGAAGGACCAACACATATCACATGTGCACCAGAAGGACCAACACATATCACATGTGCACCATCAGGACCAACACATATCACATGTGCACCAGAAGGACAAACACATATCACACGTGCACCATCAGGACCAACATTCCTCCAAAGGAGCCGTGTTATGATGAGACTCGTAGGCTATCCAGCAAAACGGCTGTTCACATTTATCCGTTGCTATTGTTGCTATCTGTTGCTATTGTCACTTCAGCACGCTGTCGCACCTGGTTGTTGAAGCACTTCTCCACCTTGAGGACAACCGCGTCGCTCACCACCTCGCCCGAGTCCAGCACGAAGAATACCAGCAGCTTGAACTGCGGGCTCATGGTCGGAGTCACTGGCAGTGTCAGGCTCGAGCTGGACACCCGGCCTGATTGCAGGATCTGGCTGCGCGCCATCACCTGCCGAACACGGCGGTCATGGGGATGACGTCACGTGACTCCCATCTCGGCGGGTTTTAAGCGATTCACAAACACGAGAAAGAGTGTAAGAGAGAGAGAGAGAGAGAGAGAGAGGGGAAGAGAAAGAGAGAGAGAGAGAGAGAGGGGAGAGAGAGAGAGAGGCATGGCATGGAGGCTGACCTCCTGTCTCAGAGAGTGCTGTCCCGCAAATGAATTCTTCAACGCAAGGACTGCTAACCATCTGAGGAGGTCTGCTCAGTTCCGCCATCACGACAGCCAATGATGTTAGTGTCGTACCTGGTACACCATTGGCGGCACGTCCGTCTCCAGTGACGTCAGCAGCTGGACGGTGACGTCACCGCGGCATGGCAGCTCGTCGGGCAGCAGGTGGACATCGATGGTGAGGTAGGAGTTGGATGGGGAGAAGAAGCTCACCAGGCGCCGTCTGAGGCCTCCGCCGCCGTGTTGCGTGGTCAGCTGGTGGAGACACCACACGATGTTGTGACCTGGCCATGTTCTGTGCCGCCACGCTCTAACGTCGAAGTAAAACTGTATGATGCAGTTAATGAGCTTCGGCAAATAGAGCTGAAAGTCATCAAACGAGCTCCTGTAGCATCATAGCGACACCGGCGTCAGGCCATTCGCGCTGAAATCATGCGGGGATTCTTACGTCGCTGGCAGCGCGAGTAAATCATGATACTGTCAGGTCAGGTCATGCTATCGGGCCATACTGTCCCAGATGCGATGGTATTAGTTCCAACGTCCACGTGCTGTCTCTGACGTCATCACACTGGCACTGATGTCATTACACTGACCCTGACGTCACCGCACTATCACTGATGTCATTTAACTGACTCTTACGTCGTGTTGACTCTGACTGACTCCGACTATGATGTCATCAATCTGACTCTGGTGTCATTGCAATGGCTCTGGTGTGCGCACAATGGTTTTGACGTGACTACATTAACTCTGTTGCCACCACCCTGGTTCTGACGTAAACACAATTTGTCTGCCCTCATCACGCTGGCAACGGTGTCTGACCAACCCTCAGGTCATTCACTGATCCCATCAGACTGCTCTTGGTGCTCGGTATCCCCGAAGTCACCGAAATGATCATGACTTCGCAGAAGTGGCCCTGTTGTTGAAGTCCCTCTCGTTGTACAATCCGCCCTGTCTCTGACTCTAACGGTGCTCTCTCTGTACTCTAACGGTGCCGCTAGACTGATATCGCCAACAGTCATAGCATGACCATCGACTCCAGTAATACCACACTGATTCTGACCTAACGGTCATGACATTAAAAAACTGGTTCCGACTTCAGCAGACTGACCATGACATCGCGCACGTACCCTGACACCAACGTAAACGTGTCCCCAGAACGACGCTAACATAGCGACCCCAAGCGAACGCACTGGCTTCGATGTATGATGCTGTCACGACGTCACCTGACGTCACGCGATAACATGTGGTCACCACATTGCCTGTGACGTCACACCTTACTAACCGTGACATCAACGCTGTCTACGAGCGGCGCTTGCGGCGGGATAAAGTAGACGACGCGGCCCTGGCTGTCAGTGGTGAAGCTGCGGCACTGGAGGGCCGTCGAGAGCCGCTTCGGATCCTCCGTCTCCCAGATCAGCGGCGTGTAGCCGAACTCGGTTCGCACGCGCTCCGAGTGCTGTCCAGCAGGGCGGGTGAGACGGCTTAGGGTCAGTCAAGCCGGCCAGGTAAGGTCAGAACAAGATCAGCTGTGTCAAGTCAGGTGCGGGCTGGATGGGACACGTCAGGGAATGACAACCAGAGTTAAGCAGCGTGGGGCATCGGGGGTAAGACGAAACAGTGTAGGATGTGCAAGATAGACAAACATGAAGATGCGTCAAGGTCAAGGTCGATGTTTGGCAGACCAGGTTGACTTAAGCCATGTTCGGCCGTGTCTGAATGGGGGACCGAAAACGTGAAAGGAGGAAAAGCGGTGAAATGTTGGTTGAGTGGGGTCAAGGCTAGGTAGAGCAGAGGTTTTAGGGCAAGAAGGGTTGGGTTAGCGCAAGAAAAAGCAGACAAGGTCGCGTGCAGGGCAGGACAGGTTATGGCGGGCGTGGCTGGGCAGGGTAAGACAAGAGAGAACTGGTGAGCGTAAGTGAGGAAGATGTAAAGCGATGTCAGGGTCATGCAGATCACCTAACTAGGTCAGACGTGATCGGTCCATAAAGGCCTAGTCAGGTCACAGCAGCCCAGAACAGGACGGTGTGCAGGTCACAAAACCTCAGGACGAGACGGTGTGAGGCAAATCTGGACAGTTCAAATGGGCTTGATCAAGAGGCATTTGAAATGACGGACTTCCCCAGTCTCACCCATGTTTATTGCCGCCGATAGCGCTGGAACACTATAAAAAACGTTACCGGAACACAGACCGCATATGTCAAAATGTAAGCCAAAAAGAGCATCTTCTCGCCCTTTATAGGCTCACAGATGTTTATCCCTAGCCGACATACCCTTTTAAAAGCGTGAAACAAGGCATCGTCAGGAGTCTTCGTCGGGTCCACCCCGCTCTGTCTGGAAAGACATGCCACACAGCGTGAAACACATATCCCTTCTCGTACATCTCTGTTTGGACAAAGACTGGGAATATCCCATGAGGCGTCTTGGTATCACCTGACGGCTCCGTGGTCCCGTCCCAATGTCTCGCGACCTCGTGTCGTAGTCCCGCTGTCCCGCGCCGTCGCACTCGCCGCCGTGTCATGGTCCCGCTGTCAAGTGCCGTCATCCCTCGCCTCCGGTTATGGTCTCGCTGTCCGGTGCCGTCGTCCCTCGCCTCTGTGCCATGGTCCCTCTGCCCAGTGTCGTCGTCCCTCGCCTCCGTGTCATGGTCCCGCTGTCCAGTGTCGTCATCCCTCGCCTCCGTGTCATGGTCCCGCTGTCCAGTGTCGTCATCCCTCGCCTCCGTGTCATGGTCCCGCTGTCCAGTGCCGTCATCCCTCGCCTCCGTGTTATGGTCTCGCTGTCCAGTGCCGTCATCCCTCGCCTCCGTCTCATGGCCCCGCTGTCCAGTGCCGTCATCCCTCGCCTCCGTGTCATGGTCTCGCTGTCCAGTGCCGTCATCCCTCGCCTCCGTCTCATGGCCCCGCTGTCCAGTGCCGTCATCCCTCGCCTCCGTGTTATGGTCTCGCTGTCCGGTGCCGTCATCCCTCGCCTCCGTGTCATGGTCCCTCTGTCCAGTGTCGTCGTCCCCCGCCTCTGTGTCATGGTCCCTCCGTCCAGTGCCGTTGCCCCTCGCCTCTGTGCTATGGTCCCGCTGTCCAGTGCCGTCATCCTTCGCCTCCGTGTCATGGTCCCGCTGTCCAGTGCCGTCATCCCTCGCCTCCGTGTCATGGTCCCTCTGTCCAGTGTCGTCGTCCCCCGCCTCTGTGTCATGGTCCCTCCGTCCAGTGCCGTTGCCCCTCGCCTCTGTGCTATGGTCCCGCTGTCCAGTGCCGTCATCCTTCGCCTCCGTGTCATGGTCCCACTGTCCAGTGCCGTCATCCCTCGCCTCTGTCGAGTGCCGTCATCCCTCGCCTCCGTGTCATGGCCCCGCTGTCCGGTGCCGTCGTCCCTAGCTTCCGTGTCATGATCCCGCTGTCCGGTGCCGTCGTCCCTAGCCTCCGTGTCATGGTCCCGCTGTCCAGTGCCGTCGTCCCTAGCCTCCGTGTCATGGTCCCGCTGTCCAGTGCCGTCATCCTTCGCCTCCGTGTCATGGTCTCGCTGTCCAGTGCCGTCGTCCTTAGCCTCCGTGTCATGGTCCCGCTGTCCAGTGCCGTCGTCCCTAGCCTCCGTGTCATGGTCCCGCTGTCCAGTGCCGTCATCCTTCGCCTCCGTGTCACGGTCTCGCTGTCCAGTGCCGTCGTCCTTAGCCTCCGTGTCATGGTCCCGCTGTCCAGTGCCGTCGCCCCTAGCCTCTGTGTCATGGTCCCGCTGTCCAGTGCCGTCGTCCCTAGCCTCCGTGTCATGGTTCCACTGTCCAGTGCCGTCATCCCTAGCCTCTGTGCCATGGTCCCGGAGCTCCGTGCTATTACGATACACAAGTGTATATGCCAAAAATTAATTGGATGACAAAAAGGTGTGCAAAGTAAGAAACTAGTTCAGCAGTTGCATCAGACACATTCTGTCACAGACGATCAAGCTTCGGTCGTAAAATCAGCTAAGCCTTGCGCCCGCAAGCCGCAACACAACGAACACCATACTCACATGGCGGCTCTCTCCTTGTACTTGGCTCTGAAGCAGATCTCCACGATCTTTTCAGCGAAAGGCGAGCCATCCCTGTCTTCGACGTGGAGCTGGAATGGAGCGATCACATTTCGTTGCATCGTCGCAATGCTCTAAGGATAGCATGCTGTTTGCGAACAAGTCATATCCAAATATGCTTCGCATTGCGTATTTAATACCATTGACCTCGAAATATCTGCTGAGATATTATGGCACACCGAGGAAATATTTTTATTTACCATACAGTGAGCAGTTAACGGTACCTGACGCGCATAGAGCAGCTTTCACTTCCATACACCGAAATCAATTTAATCCTCGGTAGGTGTATTCGAAATATTACAGCTCCTTTCACAATCCGATGTAGCGTGCAACGCGCAATGTCATGAGTCTGTATTTACATGAATAATTACAGTGTATGTCGCTGAAACGTAAAGCCCGTGAGGCCTTACCCCTCTGAACCGAGAGCATGACTCCATAAATATTTGGCTGTCTCGGCATAGCATTGGTGATTACGGTGGCTATCACCAGAGCTGCACGGACATCCCAGCGACGGCTCAGCCACTCCACCCCACCCCACCCCACCCCTCCCCATCAACACAGGTCCATCGCGGATCTGGCAGCATGACTCATGACCGTCAGCGCGCTCCGCACAAACCCAAACTGACCCGGCCGTAGTAGGGCAGGCCGGGCTTGATGAACAGCTGTGCGTTGTCCGGAACGGAGGCCGAGCTGGATCTGAAGATGTCTCTGCGCACTGATCTGATCTTTGATTGGCTGAGACCCGTGCCAAACTCCTCCACAGTGGCGTTGATGCTGAGCTGAGGTCAAGCGGGTCACACAAAAGATATTGAACTGACGGATAAGGTGCACGTGTACCATGTTAGAGGCGGGCATTGATTATCACCAGAAAGTTGCCGTCCAAAGATAATTGTTTCCTATCAATGTGTGATCCAACGAAAATATCCAACGCTTGTTAGAAAGGAATCTCTATCCTAGAAAGGAAGACTCACTATACTTAACGATAGTTTGGCACCGTCAAACGTCGCCCAGATGCATGCATTTATATGGCACGGCACGGCTACGGATAACAACAAAAATCCGTGGCCCAGCAACACAGCACTGAGGGTATTTGCGTTTGAGAACTGCTTGACCATTTTTTAAAGATCACTCTAGAACAACAGCCACCCGGACAGACAGCTACTGGGTGGTCACTGGCGTTTGTAACGGGGGCCAAACAGACCCACGCTTCTCTTACCCTACCAAACTTCTGATCAGTCCCACACTTTTTCAACCCTCTGAACCCTCGCCCTGTTAGGGATGGGTGAGGGTCAATGCGACCCTCCTGAGGCTCTCTGAGAATATCTCTCCCGTCGGTCTTGCAACCGTATTTCTATGTGTGTGTGTGTGTGTGTGTGTGTGTGTGTGTGTGTGTGTGTGTGTGTGTGTGTGTGTGTGTGTGTGTGTGTGTGTGTGTGTGTGTTTGTGTGTGTGTGTGTGTGTGTGTGTGTGTGTGTGTTTGTGTGTGTGTGTGTGTGTGTGTGTTTGTGTGTGTATGTGTGTGTGTGTGTGTTTGTGTGTGTGTGTGTGTGTGTGTGTGTGTGTGTGTGTTTGTGTGTGTATGTGTGTGTGTGTGTCACACACACACGTGCCCCAAACAGCACAAGTGCAAGATTACTTACAGCTGTGGAGCCAAAGCCAGAGAACAGTTCATCCACAATCAGATCAGACGATGCGCAGCCTGTCTCGTCCGTCTGTAAAAAAAAAACACGGCAATGTGCCTCGTCTGTTTGTATGAACAGAAAGACCGCAGCCTACCTTGTCTGTAACAACATAAGCACGCATATATGTATACATATATATATATATATATATATATATATATATATATATATATATATGTATATATATATATATGTATATGCATATATCCTGGATATCTTCGAATGTAGAGGTTCCATGCAGAGGTTCCATGTATCCTTCGATACCCGCTTTAAGCACCAAAGGGTACTGAGCAGCAAAACATCTCGTGGGTGCGGTTCTGATTGCGTTTATAGATCACACTCGACTGAGTCGCGCCCCACCTGTCTGACGCCGGCGATGGGTTAATGACACCACCCAATGCGCCACGGCCGTGATCCCGTAACTCTGACGCCACGTCAAGATGTCACTGTCACTTGTAAGGGTGCCACGGCCTGAGACTGTCACTGACTCACCGAGAGAGTGTCACCGACTCACCGAAAGAGTGTCACTAACACTGACGGAGCCGTCACGGTTGCGACTGTTCGTGACGTTCACCGTCACGGTGGCTCCAATCAGCGGCTGACCGAACGTGTACCTGCGGTAAGCAAGGTCAGCGTTCGTCATCTCGTCAAGTTTATGCAACGCATTCCTGGTGGATCACATGCGTCGAGAAACGAAGCCAGATGTATTTCCATTCGGTGCAACAGGTCATCAGCTTTAGCTAAGTCAGCGAAACACACCGTTACCAAATACATTTCGAAACCCACGTGCAAGCATTCTGCAAGCACAAGTTTATTCCCCAAGAATGTTTCAGACTCCCCGATTTCAAACTCCCAGACCAGCGAGCTTCAGATCGGGCTGGCGGATTTTCCCGCTTTCATTACCTAGCATCACTGCGCAGAGCTGCACACCGGTAGCGGGGTAAACCTGGATCTATTCGACGCGTAAGGAGAGCGCAGCGGTTGTCTTGCGGCACAGCTTGGCTGCAGTGCAAATGACAAAGCTCTCCTCCGGATACACGGCGTTGTCATTACGGCGAGCGTGGCGATTCGAGAACGCTCGCCGAGAACCGTGTTGACGCATTTCGGAGGAGTACGTCCACCGAATTTTACGTTCAGATATGTCTGATCAATGTCGGCCATTATACGGCACTTCGTAGGTCACAGTTACGACGCATGGCTGTGACCTGAGGTCACAGGGGTGCACATAGGGGTCTATAGTTTTTGTTCTTCGCGATTACTTCAAATGTTTTGACGTTAAATCTGACCCGAAACCTCTCGCAATGCTCAATGTGTACGTTATTAACACCCATTTGTGCGAGGACTTTTTGGCGTGGCACGTGTAATTTGGCAGGAGACGCGTGATTTGGCGGGACACGTGTGGCAGGAGCGAGTGCACCGACCTGATGGCTGTTATATAGCGTCCCGGTCTACAGAAAACAAAAAACGGAGTATGCGAAGAGGGCCGCAGATGCGTGTTGCACATGGTGTGCTTTGTTACCGGCATCCATATGCATTTATTCTCAACGTTTTGTTTCATTGACTTACCAGATGAAAGGCCACCATGGTTATGAATCTTTGGTGAACACACATATGAATCCGAATCTGATCTCATTCGCTGTGCACGGCTTCGCCAGCCCTAATTTTGGGCTCATTGGGCTCACTCTGAAATGCTGACAAATATGACACTATGACGCTATGACACTTACCGGCGGTAAGGGTCAGTATCATTGCGTACAGAAGATTATCAGCTTTCATGCTCATGTGGTGGTGAGATGATCAATGCAGGCTATGAAACTGAATGCACAGCCCATGTACCGTGCATTCGTCACGAATATTGGCCATCATTACAGGTGAGCTCGGCTGGTACCACGGACTGAGCGAGGTATATTACAATTTTCCAGCCTGAGAGGCTCACGTTGCAGCTGGTTTGTTGCAGCTCATGTTGCAACATGTTTCACGTCGTGCCTGCATGCCCTATGTCAAACGCCGTTGGGATGAAGGTGACATTGGGTGGCCGTGTTATGGTATTGCATGGCGTGTTAGTTCCCTCGGTCTAAGTCGTCCCCACGACCAGGATCGCAACGTTAGGTTCGTGGGGTTGATCTCACGATCTAGAACCAGACAGCCGGAGACTCTCGCCACAATGTCGGTCCACACCAGGGCGGCTCGATTCCAACTGATACAACACCTGAGGCAGTTGGGGAATGGCTACGCAACAATTCGAACGTGCTTTTCAAGGCAGGGGTTATTTTGCCCCATTCTCCTCTTTTTCTCAAGCACGATCCCCCAAAACAACTCAGCAATCCGTTTGCAACTGATGTATGAACAAGAACACGAGAGTCGAATATACTTTGCGCCCGTACACAAAAACTTTTCACTCAAGGCAAACTTCTAAAGGCTGATAAATATTCTAGAGGCGCGGTAAGGTGTCTCTAGTATTCCACCTCCATGTTAGAACAATCTGTGAAAGAAAATCAACAGCATTCATTCCCCAAATTGTCTAACATTAAATGTTTTCGAGCAAGCTTTGGTTTCACCACGTTTGACCCAACATCCGAATGCCTGTGACACAGCACTGTTTCTGCTTCCCGTGCTGCCTCGATTCCTTCTGATAATTGGTCGTGAAAACGTGTCGTCTTTGATACTAGACCATTTCCTCTGTGGTTCCTGGCAGGCATATTTCAAAGCGGTGACTCGTTTGCCTGCAACTATTTGGCATAACTACTCTGTAACTACTTGTTTAAGCACTAGTGGAAGCAAAGATGGCAGTGAGCGGGCAGGTTTACTGCGCAATATCAGCTGCTTAAGGTTTACCATTCTGGCCAGCCCTCGACAACCCACAGGAGAAAAACGTCACCACCGGGGAACGACTGCATTATGATGCCGTTCATTGCCGCGGCTCTTCTTGGCATGAGTACTTTCTGATACTGCGTCGAATTGGCATAACATCCCCGTAGCCAGGGGTGCAAGTATTAGATGCGGTGGAAGGAGAGGCATGGGGTGGCTGGTCCACTAGCTGTCTACCACTGGCCACGCGGACATTGTCTGGAGAGAAATGATAACAAATGTTTTCAGCTCACCTCTAACTTGAGAGGACTTCTATGGCCCCTGCCCGCGGCCAAGTCGACGTCGCGCTAGACACCTGATCACCAGGCTAGCACGCTATGTGGGTCCAAGTCCCAGAAATAGCGCTCGTTTATGCATTTCGTCGTAGACGGGTCACTAACGGCTGACAGTAAAGACACGATTGCATGCGGCGGCAGTGTTGTGGTGTTTTACGATGCCTTAAATTTCATAGCAATAATCTGAATGACGCCGCTGGTCTGGTGGAGTAAGGGTCTTTGTGAAGATCTTGCTTAACATAGCCTCTGATCCATAGTCATTTCTAGGATACATTCAGGCAGAGTTGTTCAGACCAGTCAAATGGAAAAAAAACGTTAGAGAATCCACCACAAGACTAGGCAACAGCACCTTGGTGCTTACATTCACGTGACTCGATGCGATGGAAAAAGGATCGACGTTGAGTTCGTATGATATCGAACCTGTAACGCTTTTTACTGCACTAGACTTAAAAGCCGTTGCAGCAGCGATAGGAGGCGGTGCGTGCAGCCAATGTTGGAGCGCGAAGCTCCCCAGTCATAACGAATTTGGTAAACCTGATAGATCCGGTAAAACGGAAATTGCATGGAACTGGAAACTCCGTAGACTGTGGCTGTTGGTCAAATGCCTTCCACCAATCAGAGATTGTAAGGAACAGGCTGCTCTCTACGCTTTGGCGAAGTCTTGCTGTTGGGAAACACGTCATCAGCTAGCGCACAAGCATCCACCAATCATGGCTTACTTGGCGCAGACGTCGACGGTGATGGTTTTCTCTTCCTCAAGCAGGTAGGTTGGACTCCTGACCTTGACCTCGAATGTAGGCAGCACATACTCCTCTACAACGAAGCCCTTCCTTTCGGGACGGTCATTTGTCCTCACGTGGATAGTCCATCTGCCCTGAAAGTCAGTCGCAAAGTGTACCCAAAGCCCCCAGCAGTGCTGGAGGGCACTAAGCCAGCTTTATTGTCTTGGGAACACATGCTTTTCGAGCAATGTGCCTGTGCACCTTAGTAAGACGGAAGCATGTGGCTTCATGGCTTCATCAGGGACGGCCCTTCGGTCAGAGTGTGACCTCACCGGGGCGAGGGCAAGACTGCACCAGTGCGAACCCTCGCTCTTCAAGTGACCTCACCAGAAGCGAATCTTCCGCTATAGTATGATTCCACCGGAGGAAGGGGACTGGCATGGGTAGGCTATGACTGCACCCGAGCGGCCCCTTGACCTTCATGTGACCTCACCAGGGGCGGCTCCTCGGTGAGCTGCACCTCTAGCTGGATCAGGCCTCCGCTGGTCTTGATGTCCCTCCACTGGGCGATGCGGATGTTGTCTGGGCTAGTCACCCACACCTCAGGAACCTGTGGAGCAGTGGCCGATTTAGAAGTAAAACATCCGGTACATAGCTTGCACTGAACATTGCAGCGGAACAGATGCGCTCCTTTTCAGTATAAGAACAGGGCGAAAACACTTCGGAACCTAACGGAAGCTCCACACGGAGTTCCGATTTATCAGCACATGGAACTCCCGTTTATCTCCACATGGGGCTGGCGTTTATCAGCACCAATCACCACTAAGTAAGCTTAATAAAGACTTTGGCAGGTCCTCACCTCCACCAGCCTGCGTTCCGTAATGGTAATCACAGCCATCCAGTTACGATCAGTGGACATAGCTAATCGGCCGCTTGGAAGAACTAGCTTTCATTCATAGCGTTCCGCAGTGAACTAATCCGAGGATGCAAAGCTCACGTTTTCGATGATCGGCGTGAGGTCATATCTCAGGGATATGACACGGATCAGGACTTTATCCCCTGGGCGGTATCGGGGCTTGTCCGTCTGGATCAGCGTCACCAGCGTGAAGGACTTGATGGTCACCTGAAACGCGGTACAGCAGGACGGTGAAAGTGCATATGCGATTAGCAAGAAGCCTGCCATAGGAGTGAGAATGCTTTTCACGGGATGTTCTTGGCGTTGGCCAAAACACCTTGACCGAAATCGCTGCATGCCTAAAACTTGTGTTTGTAGAAAAACGACCCGATATAACAGGGTAATAAATAGCTCTTTTAAAAGATTAAAGCAATCCCTGAAAGCGCACTGCAGAAGTTTATTTTTGCTGCCTGAGCATGTGACCCGACCTGAAAGGGTTTCCGACTAAAATTCACTCGTGCAGAACATTCCAGAAATTCGAAGACCATGCGAAGCTCGCATGGCATACAACTTCAAACAAATGCACAATCAACAAAGCTGCAGCAGAGTTTTCGTTGTGAATGCCAATACTGCGTAATTCGGTAAGGGATATTTTGAGAGTTGTTTGATTTATTAATTACTTAATCACTCACACATTAGCGTGCCGTTGTGAACGTTAAGCAGCTGATGGCCTGTGCATTCACGGCTCGATGGGTGTCCTGTTGCGTCAGTCTGCCGACGTCCAATTTTTGCGTGACCTCGCCGATGTTATAGGGGCTGGTCTGTGTGCAGACCCATCCACTGCATCTGTCTCACATTGTGCACTAGATATGCGAGCTGTCAGTGTCACGTTGGCCAGCTCCCACTCAGCGCCAGCTGTACTGGAGTAGTGTACATCTCGTAATGCCGGTGCCTTTTTGTAACCAGGCGCTACCAAGCAACGTTGATTACACTGAAAGCCGTTGTCAGTGCCGGGGATAGCCGCACAAGACGTTGTAAGGTCTAAGATATATGCGGGCCCATACGTCCCGACTGGGGCCGACACGGGACAAGCGCAGGATTTGCACAGATTTTGCCCCTACGCTCCGTGTCTGTGGTGTGAGCCCGGGCAGTTGGGCACGGCGCCGTGTCCGTCTGCGAACTCTCGGTGGCGCAGATGGTTGATGTGCCTGTCAGTGTGGATGTCAGTTACTTGGTTCGGACCCGTTCCCCTGGAACTATCGAGGAGATAACAGCAAATGGTGAGTGACGCGGACTTAACGCTGTACCAATCAGCGACTAGCGACCAGCGACCAACGATCAGCGACCAGCGATCAGCGCCCACCGCGCCAGCAGCCGCCGCACCAGCGCCCGCCGCACCCGCGACCAACGATCAGCGACCAGCAGCCAGCACCCGCCGCACCAGCGCCCGCCGCACCAGCGCCCGCCGCGGTGGCTTCACAAGCGTAGCCTGTATTTGGATATACCGTCTAGCCGGTGGCATTTCCAGAGGGCACGGCCTGACTTCATGCCATGGGAGCAGTCGCCTGATTCACTGGGACCCGGTGATCAGGAAAGCCTTGGCTATCCTGCAGGCGTGCTGAACAAGCAAAAATCCGTCCCGTACTCAGGAGATATATCGGTGACTTCCAGTTTTTCACTCTGGTTCGTGTTTGGTGACAATCTCCGCCAATCTCCACACAGAGGGATCCGTGCGTCGCATGCGGGTCTATGGGTAAGTTTGAGAAGTGGTGTCTCCCCACATGGCCGAGTTTCCTAAGAGCCTCGCTCGACACGCTGTCCGGCCCCGGGCCCCTACCGCTCATGATCTCCTCCAGGGCCAACTGAACTGCAGCTCTGCCTGACTCAAGGGGGACATGTGTTTGACACGCGCACACGATCGTACGTCCTCTGTTGCTGTGACAAGACGTTGTCAGTGTACCTAGTGCTCCCAGTCTGATCATTTTGTCTGCACCTTGTTCTGCGGCACGCGTGCCACTTTGACACACTCTTGATATAACGAACTGGCTTTCTCGCAGTCTGGAAACGCTGGTCGCGTACGCCGCCGGTACCCCCCCCCCCCCCCCCCCCCCAACTGTTCCCCGACTTCGATGCGACAGTGCATCAAATCCCTGGAGATACCACACTTCGATTAAACCTGGGCCTAGTGGCAGTTTTTGACTTGGGCAGTCTTCTTCAACTGACATTGCGAAATGCGTCCCTGGGTTAGATGTCATTTGATCTGCTTTGCAGTGTTTGAGAAATATCAAGCCTGATCACGCAGCGTTAACGGAAATGTTTTAAGACCATCGGAGCGCAGTTGCAAGGACTGGCCGTTGTTGCAGCTGCAAACGCGTGCTGCTGTGACCAGCTGTGCCGAGATATCGACCTAACAAGGCCTGAGGTCTTAGCCTAGTTGGCGTGGCAACTCCATAAACTCTGAAGCATGGTTCACAGGGTCTACCGTCTTTCTGTTGATAGATCAGGCAGGCCATCATTCATATGAGCTCTCAATGAAATTAGGGGCATGACTTGCCGTTTCCTTGACGCTCATGCGTAATAAGTTTCGACATTTGAAGTGAATATTGCACATTCACATCCTTGCATCTTGTCGTAAACGAACCGTCGCCTTATCTGATAAGCAGAGTCCGGCAGCATTGGCGACGTTGAGAGCCAGGTGACCCGTTCCAGCGGACGCCGAGCGCGGCACGGCCAGGTCAAAACAGTGATCGCCATCAGCTGTGGACGACGGCAGAGTCAGGGCGACAGCCAATCAGAGGGGCCAATCGGCAACCGAGCCAATCAGATCGTGGTAAAATAGCAACAGCCGATCAGGGGGACAGTAGAAAGCGACGATCAGCACACAAATAAGATTTTAGTTGTTCGGAAGGCAAATGGCGGCCCCGGTTGCGAAAGCCAGGTCCAGGATGTGATACTTCGAGGAGTCTGTAATACAGATATGCAGCTGGCAAACAGAAGAGCAATTAAATCGCTCCTAAGCATTTTGAGGACGCAGCACTGTTTTACGCAGTCGCAAATGGGTTAGCCCTAAGCTCCTCTTAAGTGATCCCCACCGGGATACCCGGAGTAGACAGGCCTTGAAAGCTCACCGCCCACAGTGTCCGGTATCCTCTCCACCAGCCTCGACCAAGGGGAGACCCCGGCCTCGCGCGAGAGGGTGAGGCATATGTTTCGCCTCGGCCCGGGCGCGTTGAAGAGCGTGATGCAGACACGCTCACTGGTGCCCGCCTGCAGCACCTTAGGCGACGTTAAGAGGAAGCCGCTGTGGAAGGGGATGACGTTACTGGTCAGACGCACAGGACGCCTGGAAGGTCCTGTATCACAACTGGGCCGGCCGAAGCTTAGAACGAATGAAACATCTGGCAAAAATCAACGCGTCAACACAAACGGCATCTAGCCCGGGCAATTTTTCCGATAGATCTAATGAGAGGGATGGAAAATTACATGAGTCTGATCGTTAAAATGATGGCGACTCGCGGGCTTTGTCGTTTTCTTTCAAGTTTGCTTCCTTTTTACAACCCTGGTCACGGTCATCTCTGCCAATCCGACGTGCTGCCGTCAGCTTGCGGCGCTTCGCGCCGCTCCCTGTTCAGCCTCCAGTCAGATTTGTCCATGAATATTTACACGCTTGAGGCACAGTTTATAAAGGTATATCTGCACACATTTTCGGAACGGCGGGCTGCCCCGGGGGCCTCACCATCCAGACCAGAGCGCAGACGACCGGACCGCACTGATTACATTGGGAAGAGTAATCAACGCGATCCAAATACACAACATGACCACCGAAGATGTGTTGCTCGGGCTGGTGCTGGCATGAATCTAAGCAGCGTGCTCGGGCCCTCCCGAATGCTTTGCGATCCCATGCATTCCACAGATGATGGCACGTAAAATGATGCCGTCGAAAATTCACAACAGCGTTGGCTTTTCACTATGGCGCATTAAGGCCAACGTACATTGTCATACGTGGTCCGTGGCAGCTTGTGGTGCAACACATCGAGGCCAAGACGTCAGAAGCCACGGAGCACTCCAAATTACGATTGGAATCGATGGGTCGGTCGTAGCAGACACGACCGAAAGAACAGGGGGAAGGCAGGAGCGTAGGGAGATATAGATAAAGACGGAGACAGTTGCTGAGACAGATACAGAGACCGGTACAGAGACAGATACAGAGACAGATACAGAGACAGATGCTGATACAGGGACACATACAGAGACAGATATAAATATAGATGCTCAGACAGATGGAGGGACAGATGCAAGCAAGAACGGATACGCGGACAGGGACAGGTCTAGGGACAGGGGCAATGTATGTGGCAAGCACAAAGGCGGGGTGAGGACGGGGGCAGGCGCAGGGACATGGACAGAGGCAGAGACAAAGGCAGGGGCAAAGACAGGAACATGGTCAGAGCAGTTCACCACTCTTAAACTTCCCGCGGAAGCATCAATAGCCTGTGGCCATCAACCAGCAACCAACAACCATCAACAACCATCAGCCTTACGGTGATGCATTGAGCGCGTTCATCCGAAATTAAGGGGCTGCCTACGGGCTTGTCTGCTGTTCGTACGCCCTGGAGAACCGTTATGCTCTGGGCGTGCCTGGTGCTCGGCGTATTGGGCTTTTATCGATGGGAGAGTCGCAGCTCAACTTCCCCTTCTCATCTGAGCCAGGGAGATATCCATAACAATTATTCAAAAGTGGTGGGCCGGGTGTATCTCACCTAAAGTTTTCCAAGCAGAGCGTTCTTAGCAAGAATCCCCCAATCACAAGATATTTGACAGTCCACCTCATGGCCCAGCGGCAGGTCTAGGGAGGGTGCATCGCGCTGAAGGCCTGACCTGGCTGACGCCAGGGCGAAGCAGAGCATCGCGATGAACAGCAGGATTTGTTTAACGAATGTTTGATTTTTGTCTCGCTTCGTACGGCCGCCGCGAGAAGAAACAGCCCATCTCAGTGCAGTTTGACAGACAATTTCGACTAACGGAATCGACGCAGAATGATCTGGGATATTTTGGAGGTAGAGTCAGGTGTTGGTACGACTTCGGTGCAGTCATAAGCTGGTTAGAGTCGCGGGTTGGTTGTGTGATGGGAACAGTCAAGGGCTGGGTGGAATCATGGGTTGTGCACTGTCGGGTAGAGCAAGGGGCTAAGTAGAGCGACGGGCTACTTTGGTAGGGTCCCAAACAGGATGGTAAATGGCATACGGCGCTGAATCTGGCGTATCCATAGCAACATTAGAAAGACGAATACCGCGAAACAGCGCGTTGCGTAGGCGTCTGAGGTAACCGACGCCTGCGGAACCGTGATTAAAGTATAAAACGAGCAGTGGTGTAGACAGTCGCAGTCGGATCACAGGCGGTGAAGTAGGGGTCCTACCCGCCTCTCTATGGAATTGTAAGCTGCAGTCGGATCACAGGCGGTGAAGTAGGGGTCCTGCCCGCCTCTCTATGGAATTGTAAGCTGCAGTCGGATCATAGGCGGTGAAGTAGGGGTCCTGCCCGCCTCTCTGTGGAATTGTAAGCTGCAGTCGGATCATAGGCAGTGGAGCAGGGATCTTACCAGCCTCTCTTTGGAACGCAGATTCTGCCCACCTCTTTATGGAGCAGAGATCCTGCCCGCATCTCTATTGAACAGAAAGCTGCAGTCGCATCATAGGCGGCGGAACGTGTGAACTGACAGCCTCTTCAGGGACCCGTATTTTTTGCCGATCGAAGTAAGCATCAGATCGTGAAATAAGCCCACTTACAGCTTTGGTTTAAGTTTAAGTCGAAAAGATTGCTCTAGACAACACGATTTCTATGGTAACCAAATATGCTCCGGAATGTGTCACCGTTTGATTGCGTCATAGTGCCTTGCACAACACTTATTGAGGGCCAGTGGACGGCCGTTATGCCTGGAAATCGTGCTCATGTACGCCAGGTATGAATAACAAGGATATCTTTATTGCCCTTGATCGCCGCACGGCTAGTGGAATGACAGGATTTTCATGACGTCATTATGGCGTCCTGAATGTTTGGGTGCCCTTGGAATAGTCTCCCTGAAATAGTCTGCATATCTTCACAGCCGTGCAGCTAAAAAACTAGGGGGGTTAGGTCTTCAGAAGAACATGGTTTTGAACTGCGCTGAATGATCTTTAAGATGGCTATTTCAGTTCAAAATCCCGTACAAATGTGGAACACTCCGCGATGGGCGCTCTCCGGCGTTTGGCTGCAGCCGAATGTACATTCAGCAGTACAAGCCTGCACAACATCACCTTACCTTTTAGGCGCCTTCACTCCACCAGCCGCCGTCACGCATATTAACAGCAGCACCACCCAGACCTTCATCACGATTCTTGGGAAGCCGCTCGACCGACGACTAACCACGCCGGCGACGCTCCGAAGCCATCCGGTAACGTCGCGGTGGCCGCAGCGGAGGTGAGGGCGCCACCGTCGCCCGGCTGTGGCCCCGAGACCACGTCTGGGCTGCGTGGAACGCCCTCTGAGCTTTCCTTTGACCTAGGTGACCTTTCCACCTAGCAACGCACAGCCGAGGGGGGGGACGCTTGGCGAAGGAGGGGGGCGCCGTGGTCGAATGGTTAGCACCCTCAGCTCCCACGTTACGTCAGAGTTCAGGCCCCGGTTGTGCCACGTCGGCCCCGCTTCAGGCCTCGGTTGTGCCAGTTCCGAGTTTAGGCGCTGGTTGTGCCAGTTCAGGCCACAGTTGTGCCACGTCACTGAGCGTTAATATGACCTCTGCAGTTGCTGGTACCCCATAACAGGGCTCCCACTAAGTTATGGACGTTCTTCATCTTGTGCGACGTGGTAAGCCCAGTTGTTCATTTCCAGAACGATGATGCCTGGCTTCATGTGGATAAATAAACCGTTTAAAGATGTGTTCGGAGAAACACTATCACTGGCATTCGATCAGGGCGCTTTGGCACCCTCCCACAAACGGTCACACCTCAAATTAACCCACTACTCTCTACCCAGCGCATCACCACCCTCCCAAAGGTGGATACATCCCAGACCATCATACAGCCCACCACTTTCTACGCAGCGCATCACCTTCTTCTCACATACAAAACTGAGTCGTTGAACATACATTACAATAACGGGATTGCGAGTTCGGAATGCTAGCAATCAAGCGTACCCAGCGCAGAAGCAGGTTAAAGTTCCTCGACAGCAAAGTTTACGCTTTAGGGTTGTTCATCTCTTTGCAGCTCAACTGGACCTGTAGTATGAATTAACGTCGCTGCGCCGATGAAACCACCCCATTATCCGACTTGTCTTCTCGTCAGACCGTGCAGCAAAGAAATTCGTGTATCAACGTTACAGGAAACAATGTCAGGTTCATAAACCATCACGGGTAGTAAACAGAACGTCGCTTAGCATGAAAGGGCTTCCACGAGACCGGTGGATCAGCGACGTCAGTTTCAAGTTCAGGTTGCGGGGAAAAGGAATTTGAGCGCAAGGTCGAAGGATAAAAGTCGCAGTACAAAATGCTTTCCCAACGTGGTGTGTTATCCCCATGTCAGGAAACAGTTTCAATGGCTGGGTCAGGTTAATCCATTGTATCCTCCATGGCGATGCTATTACGAGAAACGATCGAAGATGATGTTTGTGCGTGATTGTCAGCCTTTTCTTACCTTTTTATTATATTCCAGCCAGGTTAACATGGAGGGAGGGGCCAGAACTGACACAAAAGAACACAAATCGACATCTGTAATTGAAACGCAACTTTGTTTTAGTTTACTCAATCCGTGCAGAGCCCGGGACACCAGGGAATCGAAAATGTCTCAAAACGAGGATACCAGGGATTGCTCACCTTTGAGTGAAGAATCTTCGTCCGTTGGCAAACAATCCTTCACAGCAAACAGTCCTTACTAGGCCTGCGGTAGGTGATAGTTTTTCATATATCTCGTCTGAGACGCCACATAGATTTCGGCTGAGACCCTACATTGACCTCGTCTGAGACGCTACATCGATCTCGTCTGAGAAGCTACATTGATCTCGTCTGAGACGCTTCATCGATCTCGTCTGAGAAGCAACATCGATCTCTTCTGAAACGCTACATCGATCTTGTCTGAAGCGTCAAATCCATCGCGTCTGAGACGCTACATCGACCTCAACTGAGATGTTGCATCGCGAAAACGATGCCCGACTGATATGCCTGATGACAAATCATTTCGTAAGGAAATGACGGCATTGAGTATAATAGCACATGTCGGGTTTGAACACCAGGATAGAAATCCAAAGGTGCCTGCCAATGGAAAATTTGATGCAAAAAATAACAATCTGTCATCGCTGCCCTTTTAAGCTTTTGCAGGATCGCAGGACGCCAGCAATGCGGCCCTCTGGCTGCACCACTGCAAACGCGACTGACTTCCCTTCTCCTCATGTTTGGCTCAGGGCGCGTGATTGACCGCACTGGCGCATGAGCGCAGCAGTTGACTTGCCGCTACCCGAACTTTTACGACCGGGCTGTTCTGCCTAGCAAATAACTCTTTTGAATTTCCTAATGTAGAATCAGACCGTGAAGCACGAGTACGCGCTCATTCTAGCACGAGCACGAGTACGTGACATTCTGCCGTCGCGCACAATAAGCAACGCAACACGCGGGCCGGACGGACGTGTTCGTCTGTTGGAGCCTTCCCGTACTCCAGCTGGCATTAACGTTGAGCTGGACCAGGGAATGATTCTGACGGGCGCTCTCGTAGCGAAATGACGGTAACGAGAATCAACGAATCAATGATTCAATCGGGTTGCGAACGGGACAATGTGAACGACTCCCGATGTGGCTGGTGCTGCTTTGTCACACCTGTCTTCACCACCCTCGCCAAACAGCTGAGTCTTCCTGTTTCCGAGCGTGCCCCAAGGCGACCGGCCGAGGCGACTGCTCCTGACGGGCGTGACGTCCGCTGTGACGTCACCAGCGCGGTCTGACGTGTGCCGGCCGTGGTCCGGTGCGGCGGATTCGTCCTGGGGAACCAGCGGTGGTCAGCTGGGGCGATTTCGACCCGGACTGCCACCAGCCGTGATGGCTACGAAGCTGTGGCGGTCAGCTGGGGCGATTTCGACCCGGACTGCTACCAGCCGTGAGGGCTGCGAAGCTGTGGTGGTCCGCTGGGACGATTTCGACCCGGACTGCCACCAGCCGTGATGGCTGCGAAACACCTAGTCAGCCTTGCCAGCCGCGGGCGTGCTGTATTTACTCCGATATCAGAACGATGTCATGAAGACCTCTGTTGAATATGTGATGGAGCAAGTATAGCAGGGATATCAACTCAGAACGGAATGGATTACACACAAGCAGAACAGGCCTGGAATGAGCGTAGGTGCGAGCGATTGGTGGCAGCCATGCCGACCGTCATCAACAGCAGCGGCTTTACAGGCGGACCCACTAATGGTATTTGCATTGAGCTATGAGAAGCCAGCTGTATAGGCCGCGGCTAGGTACGATCACTGGGCGCCTGAGCTGCTTGACAGCGACACATCGTGTACCGACCTGACGGCAGGCCAGTTTGATGCACATTTCTGCTGCTCTGTTACCAGCGACGGTGCTAGCTCTCTTTTGAAACCTTGGTCTGGTGGGGAAGCACAGTTTAGTAGAAAGATGTCAACTTCACACGCAGTGATAAATGCTAACGAATGGCGCAGTTTATGCTTGGCGTTCGTATGTTTGATGGTACAGTGCGCCTAAGGCTTCCACGTCACATTGCTGTGGGGGCGAATATTTCATTGTTGCTCAGCTGCTGACGCGTGACGTCACATGCCAACGGATGATACATGACGCACATTTATTCACATGCTCTTTTGACTTGCTTGTAAACCTGGCTCATGGTGGAAGCGCACTGGAGCATCCATAAACCGTCAACGAGCGAACGAATTGCACTAAGAGCCAGCTTCCAGCTTCCGATCTTCTGCCCTTAAGCGTCTTCCAGCTGCCCATCTTTTGACCTGATATGGCTTCCAGCAACCCATCTTTTGCCCTCATGTGTCGGAAGTCTGGTGTATGCCCGTATTGCGCTTGGGCTGCATCCAAATTTCCATAGTTTTATAAGTCGTTTTGAGCCATTCGTTCGTATTGAGTGTCTGAGTGGATGTCAAGATCGGACTATTTACGAACGTTGAACTCGTAGTTTGTCGAGTGCCTGACTAAACGAGCAGTCTTTTCAATAACGGTGTTTATGATCATGAGCTGAATGCAGCTCAATCGTTCTGGATCCTCTGGCTTAGCCGTGGAGCTTAACAAAGCGGCTCGGTCATAAAATCAAACGAATGTTTTTCGTGGCGATGTCTTTTAGAACAAAAACGGAGTTGTACCACAAAACACTAGTTCCCATATGCATATCACTTCCACACTGGGCTGCAAATGCGAGGGCATGTTGCAGTCGACAATTGTACATTTAATAAGGACAGCAAATGAGTTAGCCTAGCGACAGAAATCTGCCAACTCACCCCACTGCAAAATCCACACCAAAGGTAACTCAGTCGTTGTATAATTCAAGGGCTACAAGAAAACTCGTGGCATGCCGCTGTTACAGGACAATCGTGACAGTTAGCCAGCATCACACCATGAAGTTGCAGTGGGCGAAGAATACCAAACCAGCACAATACGTGGCCTAGTGTAATGGTGACGTTAGCATACAGGCTTTAAATGAGCATGCTATCATTGGCTGTCCTACTGGCTTTAACTTCCTTTGTCAACAGGCAAGTGAAAACAGAAAGGTGCTGACATGAACATGGTCAGCAGCAGTGAGGGCGGCAGACAGTCTTGTCATTGTCACATACAATGACCATATCATGTCTTCCTGGGCAAACCTGACATGTTCATTCCACTCCGAGTTACGTTACTGGGTTCACTCCATTCACTGAGCATGCATTTCACGAGTCATTGTCACGACATTAGCAGAGAGTTGTGGATGTCTGGGAACTACGGAATCCTGTCTGGGTGCGCTATGGTTTAGATCAACAGTAGCTTTTTTGAAAACAGTGGCAGTTGCTGTGTAAAACTTTGTTGGAAATATGAAGATGGGGTTTCTCACATTTTTGCAACAAACATTCCTTTAAGCTTTTCATTATCCAGGGATTCAACTTTGGCATTTCAGTTAAAAACAAATCGGGAGTAAATGCTGCGAATATCATGCAAAATCTGAAAAAGTTAGCTGCAAATCTTGCTTAGATGCATCAGTGTCCGTTTTAGCATTAGTCTAGTGCACAAACAAGCATACAAAGAACATTAAGGAATATTTCACAACCATTGCACTAAAAAACAGTGCCACATCATAACTGTATATCTCAAGGCCACGCAGTGCCACAAACGCGTTCGCACAAGTGCACAATTGCTGAGAAAGCACATGAAGGCTACGCAAATTCACAATT